AAAATGGGTGTCTGCAAATACAGATCTATGTGAGTAAGAAGCTTGCCTGTGTGGTCTCCAGGTCTTGACTGCACGTTCGTTCTCTCTGTAACCTGGCACTCTTGTCTCAACCTTCACAAAGTCCTTGATTTTTGGCGCCATCCTGAGTCTCTCTGGCCTAGCACAGACCCTGCAGGTGAGAGGTACCAGGTGCCTGTATCCAGAAAGAGAAATGGAAGAGTGAGAAAGATGGAGAGAAGATGAGGCCGAAGGGGATGGTCTTGGGTTCGAACCTGATCCTGTTTCTTCAGAACAGTGTCTACAGTTGACCCATCCAGCATATAACTATCAGCCACGTGCATAATTAAAATTAGAATTTATTAAAATTCAGAATTCAGCACTCATCATTTTTTAAATGTTCCATACCCAGTGTCTGCTCAGTGAGACAGCGTCTTCCCAGTGAGACAGTGCCCGCCCAGTGAGACTGTGTCTTCCCAGTGAGACAGTGCCCGCCCAGTGAGACAGTGCCCGCCCAGTGAGACAGTGCCCGCCCAGTGAGACAGTGCCCGCCCAGTGAGACAGTGTCTTCCCAGTGAGACTGTGTCTTCCCAGTGAGACAGTGCCTGCCCAGCGAGACAGTGTCTTCCCAGCGAGACAGTGCCCGCCCAGCGAGACAGTGCCCGCCCAGTGAGACAGTGCCCGCCCAGTGAGACAGTGCCCGCCCAGTGAGACTGTGTCTTCCCAGTGAGACTGTCTTCCCAGTGAGACAGTGCCCGCCCAGTGAGACAGTGTCTTCCCAGTGAGACAGTGCCCGCCCAGTGAGACAGTGTCTTCCCAGTGAGATTGTCTTCCCAGTGAGACAGTGCCCGCCCAGTGAGACAGTGTCCGCCCAGCGAGACAGTGCCTGCCCAGCGAGACAGTGTCTTCCCAGTGAGACTGTGTCTTCCCAGTGAGACAGTGTCTTCCCAGTGAGACTGTGTCTTCCCAGTGAGACAGTGCCCGCCCAGTGAGACAGTGCCCGCCCAGTGAGACTGTGTCTTCCCAGTGAGACAGTGCCCGCCCAGTGAGACAGTGCCCGCCCAGTGAGACAGTGTCCGCCCAGCGAGACAGTGCCCGCCGAGTGAGACAGTGTCTTCCCAGTGAGACAGTGTCTTCCCAGTGAGACAGTGTCTTCCCAGTGAGACAGTGCCCGCCCAGTGAGACAGTGTCTGCCCAGTGAGACAGTGCCCGCCCAGTGAGACAGTGTCTGCCCAGTGAGACAGTGCCCGCCCAGTGAGACAGTGCCTGCCCAGTGAGACTGTGTCTTCCCAGTGAGACAGTGCCCGCCCAGTGAGACAGTGCCCGCCCAGTGAGACAGTGCCCGCCCAGTGAGACAGTGCCCGCCCAGTGAGACAGTGCCTGCCCAGTGAGACAGTGCCCGCCCAGTGAGACAGTGTCTTCCCAGTGAGACAGTGTCTTCCCAGTGAGACAGTGTCTTCCCAGTGAGACAGTGTCTTCCCAGTGAGACAGTGTCTTCCCAGTGAGACAGTGCCCGCCCAGTGAGACAGTGTCTTCCCAGTGAGACAGTGGCTGCCCAGTGAGACAGTGTCTTCCCAGTGAGACAGTGCCCGCCCAGTGAGACAGTGCCTGCCCAGTGAGACTGTGTCTTCCCAGTGAGACAGTGCCCGCCCAGTGAGACAGTGCCCGCCCAGTGAGACAGTGCCCGCCCAGTGAGACAGTGCCCGCCCAGTGAGACAGTGCCTGCCCAGTGAGACAGTGCCCGCCCAGTGAGACAGTGTCTTCCCAGTGAGACAGTGTCTTCCCAGTGAGACAGTGTCTTCCCAGTGAGACAGTGTCTTCCCAGTGAGACAGTGTCTTCCCAGTGAGACAGTGCCCGCCCAGTGAGACAGTGTCTTCCCAGTGAGACAGTGGCTGCCCAGTGAGACAGTGTCTTCCCAGTGAGACAGTGTCTTCCCAGTGAGACAGTGCCCGCCCAGTGAGACAGTGCCCGCCCAGTGAGACTGTGTCTTCCCAGTGAGACAGTGCCCGCCCAGTGAGACAGTGCCCGCCCAGTGAGACAGTGCCTGCCCAGTGAGACAGTGTCTTCCCAGCAAGACAGTGTCCGCCCAGCGAGACAGTGCCCGCCCAGTGAGACAGGTGGCATAACAATGTCATCACTTCAGGAAGCAGCATGGGCAGAGCCTAGGAAGGTCCCAAGTGCCCACCTGTGTTTCCCATTAGGGAAAGAGGGAGGGACCGGTAATGGGTTTGTTTAAAATTTAAGAAGACCTCAATTTGAGATCCTAAACACCTATATTTTGTTTTTTTATTTTTCTTTTCATTTTATTTTTAGAGACAGGGTTTCTCTGTAGCTTTGGAGTCTGTCCTGGAACTAGCTCTTGTAGACCATGCTGGCTTTGAACTCACAGAGATCCACCTGCCTCTGCTGGGATTAAAGGCGCGCACCACCACTGCCTGGCTCACCTGTATCTCTTTGAGGGCATCATTTCTATTTGTGAACAACTCAAAAGTCTGGGTTTGGAGGGGGGCTTGCTGCTTCTGCCATTGTTTATGGTCCCGGGGACTTGAACCCAGAGTCTCTGCCGGCTGGGGGAGGGCTTCCCGCCAAGCCACACACCAGTCTGTCTCTGTGATTAATTAAACAACAACAACAGAAGCAGAGAGATCCTTGGTTTGTGTGACTCTAAGAATTACCGTATGATGTCATGGGTCCGCAGCAGCCTTTTGAAAAGTTGTTTTTTTTTAAAGCCGACCTCCTTATGATTAATTACTTCCATTACTCTTAACCCTAACCCGTGTTTGAAACACCGCCACCCTGCCACAAGGATCACATGAGCGAGGCAAATTAGCAAGCCCTGTGATCGTAAAGGGGCAGCAGGCATAAAACCGCATTGATTTTAATCCATTAACACAGACTGTGAAATTATGTCTTTTCTTAATGTAGTAATTTGGTTAATAATATAGAAACTCTAAAGGAAATTCTCTTCTCAGGCAATCTTTAAAAAGCACGTTAGCTCTAATGTGCACACTATATATACATATATGTGCTTATTAAAGTGTGTTCCAGGAGGAATTTTGCTTAAGGAATTTTTATTAGCTTAGTTCTTATGGCTGTATTTATGTAAAAGAAATTAAGTAAAAATAATCTTCGTGGGGCTGGACAGATGGCTCAGCAATTGACAGCTTGTCGCTTGTCAGAGGATCTGAGTTCAGTTCCCAGCACCCACATTGGGCAGCTCACAATCACCTATAATTCCAGCTCCAGGGAATTTTACACCCTCTCCTGGCCTCCACAGATACCAAACACATGTGGCAGACAACCAACACATACAGGTACACTTACACACACACACACACACACACACACACACACACACATTTTTTATCTTTAAAAAATATTAAATAGAGTGGAGAGATGGGTCAGTAGTTAAGAACACTTGCTGCTCTTGCAGAAGACCTGGGTCCAGTTCCTGTCACCCATATGACAGGGGATTCAAAACCTCTTCAAACACTGCATGGATGCCGTGCATATACATAACATTCAGGTAAAACACACAGACACATAAATTTTAAAAAGTGAACATTTTATAAAATATATTCTTCAGCTCAGAATTTTCATTATTTTACATTTTTCATACTTATTTACTTTATTGTATGAAGATTTTGCCAGTGTGTGTGTGTGTGTGTGTGTGTGTGTGTGTGTACCACATGTGTGCCCGATGCCCATGCCCATGGAGGTCAGAAAAGGGCATCAGATGCCCTGGAACTAGAGTTCCAGATGACTGGGATCCTTCATGTTGATTCTGGAAACTGAACCCAACGCCTCTACAAGAGCAGCCAATGAACTTAACTGCTGAGCAGCCCCAGAATTTTCACTAAGTTAAAGGCAGACTCTCCCTCTCACTCCCTTTCCTCCCTGCTCCCCCCAAAACCTACATTTTGGTTTAGTGAGCCTCTCTTCCTAACAATGAAATAGTATGGTAGCTGTTACCTATAGTCCCAGGACTGGAGAGGCCGAGGGCAGTCTCATTGAGAATTCAAGGCTAGCCTGGTCTGCATAGAAGATAAAGAGAGTTATGTTTTCATTGTCATGATCAAAACATCTAGCAGAAACCACAGTTTGTTTTGGCTCATGGGCTCAGTCCATCACAGCAGGAAGGTGTGTTAAAGCAGCTGTATCCATGACAATGGGAGTGAGAAACTGAGTGGAAATCCACATGACTCAGAGAAGAGGCAGAGAAAACTAGATAAAAGTCAAAGGTACGGATAGTTTTCAAAGTCTTGCTTCTTCCAGCCAAGCCCCATTCCCTAACGGCTTCAGAAAAGCACCTGTCCAGGGGTCAGGAATACAGTTCCAGTGGTCCAGTGCTCACTGAACATACACAAGACCCCGAGTAAAATCTCTGTCGTCACCATCAGAGCATGTGCCTGTAATCCCAGAATTTGGGATGGGGAGACAGAAGAACCGTAAGTTCAAGGTCAGCCTGGGCTACATAGCAAATTCAAGGCCTACTTGGGGTGCAAGAGATACTGTCTCAAAATATTAAACAAATCAGTAGCCCCATATGCTAGGGAATAAGGATTCAAAACATGAGCATGTGGGGGACATTGCAGATTTGGGCAGTCACATATTAGGGGACCTTGTCTCAGAGAGAGAAAGAGAGAGAGAGAGACTGTTCAGTCTGTTAAAAGGCACAAGTCTTGGTTTGGTTTGTTTTTTTCCAGCCTGTTCAGCAGTGGAGAACTGGGAGCTTCTGCTGAGATTTTAGGAAAGGCGCTGAAGCAGCCACATACCAAACAGCGGGTGGCACATATCCTCTGCGGAGCAGCAACAGAATCTGTGGTGGGGGAACTGCGCGCTCAGGCTCAGCAACGTGTTCCAAAGTTCCTGCAGTTGCTTATACCTCCAGGCAGAGGAGAGTGGTTCGGCTATCGTTGTGCTTCAGCAAAACTCTCTGCAGCTCGGGGCTGCAACCCAAGGCTGGAGGGAGAACACAATGGATTTTTGTTTTTTTCTTCTTCTTCCTTCCAAGGAGAGAATGTTCTTTTCAGCTTGGTCCATCAGATACACAAGTCACTCAAGAGCCAGGTTCTTCTCCAGATCCCATCTTCCTCCTTGGCAGGGTGACACTAAACACTAGATAAAACAGATAGGCAATAGTAAATAAACAATTCAATGAATAATTCAAGACGCAAGGCTGTGAGACTAGACCTGCGGCCCTGACACACACTGTGCTGGTTCCAAAGGCAGGGAGACATCCTGGTGACCTCTGTAGCAGATGATTCTAGTGTGCACGGTAGTTAATCGTCAGCCCTCATACACTACGGCTCTCAAGCCCAGAACAGCATGACTGCCTAGAACACATGTGGTGGACTCCAGAACCTTTGGCAATAGTGCCATTGTCATCGTCTGTGGCCACTTATACCCATCTATGCCCCCACGACCTCAGCCACCAGCTTTTTTTTTAATTTATGAAACAATGTGTTTAATATGTAAGCCATGTGTTTATTCCAGTATAGACCTCTCATGTGAACCCTGGCCTTCCCTGCCCTTCTCTCTCAATGGCGACTCCATCTGCTCACTGGAATCAAAAAAGCCTTGGGGTTTTCTGTGACTCCTCCTCAATTCCCAACTTGTAAACTCGGCAAATCCCAACTCAGGTCACTTCTTACACCACTGTTAACCCACACGAGTCATTCTGAGTCTTGTCTGGGGACACTTTGGGTTATTACATTGAAAGGGCACAACGGACATTAGCGGGTCCAGGCCAGGAATGCTGAGAAACGGCCTGAAGTACACAGTGCAACCCCCACTCACCACCACCACGGAGAATCATCTACCCCACAATACATGTATCCATCAAGAGAAACCGGTCCCGGTTCCCGCCACTGTCCCTCAGCTGGATCCCCTCCATGATCTCCTGCCCCCCCACCCCGCAGATGATCTTGCCTTGTTCCCTCAGCTATGGCCCACACAGCAGCTGACTGTGCTGTGAAACAAGGCAGATCACGTCGCTTCTCTGCAGAAAGCATTCCTCCTGCCCTCCATCTTGTTCAGAAAGCTACATGGCCTCCCCGACAGCCTGTGCCATCTTTGGTCTCACAACTGCCTGTTCTCCTCGCTAGCTCACACCTTTTCTCCTCCCAGAATCCTCCAGGCACGGTCTCATTTCGAGCACAGTGTTAAGATCAAGTCCCAAAGTCAAGTCTTCCATTGGCCTGCAGCTGGCTTCTTTAATTTTCTTACTGAAGGGTAGTGGGGGGTAGTGCTGAGACTAGCCCACCACTCTGTATCCCTGGCCCATCTGTTTGAGTGATGATGGGCACCATCCGGTAGGTTTATCATAAACTACCCACTATGCTGGACAGACAAGTAGGCAGAGCTCCTTCTCTCAGACAAATGAAGGCATGGCACCCATTTAAGCCTGGTGGTTTGGTGAGCCAGGGAAGCGGCAAGCATCCAGGTACATGAGCCAATTCTCTTGGAGGAAGGAGTCTCCCTGGAGAAGATGAAGACTGAAGAAGACAGCGAGGGGCCCATTTCCCACCCAGCCCCTACTAGGTCCTTTCAAAGTCAAAGGGTTGCTTTTCAGAGGTGTGTTCTGCTTTAAGACCATAAATGACAGCCCAGAGGCAGTGAGGAGCATCTGAGGGCTACAGATGCAAGCTGCAGAGACTGGCACTGCCCCGGTACCACGGGGCTTGCAGCTGTGTGATGCCAAGAAACGGCATGACAGGGATACAGCAGGGTGGTCACAGAGCAACCTACAGAGGTGAGGATGCAGAGCCAACCTCTCAAAGCCTGGGAAGCAGTGATCTATAACACAAAGGGGCCAGAGAGGTGAGAAGTGGGCTATGGTCGAGCTGTTGCTGTTACCCGTGTAGGGAAGATCACTAAGATGCAGCCAGACCTCCAGCATCAGAGTTAGTCTTATCAGTGCGACCACTCTTGTACCCTGAGCTGAGAACTGTGAACGCGATAGTTGGAATGTTCCAGGTCTGTGCTACAGAAGCCAGGCTGCCCTTTAGAGCTGTGGTCATGCACTCCAGGAAGAAACCTCCTCAGGCCAGAAGACAGTAGAAGTTACCCTGAAGGGAGCCACAGCCCTATAGGATGATTAGTGTCATTTCTTTGTGGGAGGAGAATGACTGGGTCTTCTGGAATGTGGAAAGCAGAGTGGCAGGGGGTCAGGTATGGTGGGAACATAGACACAAGCTGAACGTGGTTGGAAAGAAAGGGGCCCTTTCTCAACACACACATTCTCCACAGAACTGCTTGAGGGGTCTCAGGAAGGCAGCAAGCATCCTCAGAGGATGATGTGGTGCAGCAGGGGTTTGGGTCTGTATCCAGGGCTGTGGGGAGTATCTGAATGGAGTGTTGTTTTCAGTAGAGGATCGCTCGCTATGGAGCCTGGAGCTGAGCAAGATAAGAAATGGGGCTCAGTTAGGAGACTTTTTTGCATGTTTTCCCGTTGTTCTGCTGCCCAGATCTGTTTTCTACAGCTTCTCTTTTGCTCTGTGCCCTACATAACCCTGGACCTCTAACCTCTGGACACGTTTACCCAACAGGAGACTTAGCAAGAGCTTGGAGGGCAGGGGTTGGTGGGGAGGAGGAGGTTAGGTGCTTTCTCGTACTGTGCAGTCTCTGCCTGAAACCACGGCAGAAAAGCTGCCTTCAGTACCAGCACGCATCCAACTGCTGCCATTGCTTGCTCCCCTTGAGCTATTAGGGAGCGGAAACAATGGCTTTCTGCTGTGACTTGATACAAATGATGTTGGGGAGCTTGGGTGAGTCCTCACTATCACTACCCTGGATACAGGAGGTGATGGTTTACACAAATGAAGGTTGTGGGGACTGGCGCAGAACAGAGGCAGGAGCAAGGACAAATGGAGAGACGCCAGAGCTCCCTGGCAGGTGAGAGCACGGGACTAATTAGACTTAGGAGATTGTTTGCTACCTACTGCTGGGTAACAAGTCGCCACAATTGAAAACAATGCATCCTGCTATCTTTCTGTGCCGAGTGGGGCGGGGAATCCAGGAATGACTTCATGGGGTCCTGGGCTTTAGGATCATCCATGAGGCTGCCATCAGGTTGTCCCCAGGAGTAGGGGTCCCCTATGAAGGTTCAAGGATGGCATACTCACTTTCAAGGTCATATGGTTATTGGAAGAGTTCAGCTGAATTGGGGCTTCAATTCCTTGCTGCCTGCTCATCGGATTCTGCCCTCCGTTCCTGATAGACATGGCAGAGTGCTTGATGATCTGTAAACGAGTTCTGTCAATCCATGATGTGGTGGCACTTACTGATGATCCCGGGAATTGGGAGGCTGAATCAGGGTGATAGAGAGTTTGAGACCAGGCCGGGCTACATAGAGAAGCATATATAAGTACAATTATATACCCTAGCTACAAGAGTGACACCCTGACATCTTTACTCTGTTCTATTGTTTGGAATCAGATCACAGATCCTGCCCACACTTCATAGAATGGGGAGGGAATTATACAAGACAGAACCCCTGGATTTGGGGATTACTAAAACCATTCTACAATCAAAAGGAAGAGGAGGAGAAGGTGATTCTATAAATCTTTACTTTAAAAATTGTGCCATTTATCAAGCAAGTGTGTTAAAGAACAAGTGGATGGAGTTGGGAGAAGGGCTATGGCTCACTGGGACAGTGGAGGTCAGAACAGGCTGTCTCCCACAGACTCAGAGTTGGCCTCAGAAGAAGACAGAGGAGAGGGCAGGCCCAGGAACTAAGAGGAGGTCTTTCTGGTCTTGTTTTTTTGCCAGGGGAGGGGCACAAAAGGAAAAACACAAACACAGACTTGCGACCAAGTCTCTGTAGGAAAGATGAAGGGGAGAACAGATTTATCTTTTCAGGAGAGGGGGCTGCATGTTTTACGGGGGGGGGGGGTTCCATGTCTTACTAAAAGGAGTCAGGAGCCAGAACAATGCCTCAAGTCCTGAATTTATCCCCTAATGAAAGGAGTTGGACCTCCCCTAAGAAAATGGGGTGCTACTTATGTGGGCCTCCTGGGAGCATTTGAATGAGAGCTATGGGTTCAGAGATGACATGCTAACGGGCTGAGAAGCATGAGATTGTGGGGCGGTGTGAGCCACACCCAAGTGGGGTGGGGAGGGTCTGGAAACTTGTTCACACCCTGCTGACGCGCTTCTCTGCTCTGTGTCATCCTGTGACTCGGTCTCCCTAACCTGGGGACATCACCTCCCCTGTTTGCTTCCCAGCACGTCTTGAGGACCACAGAGCTGTGTAGATGGCACCACTGTGGACAATGGATAGGGAAGTAAGACGTAGGTCCCAGCCTGTTAGCTTTTACGGTGAACCCTCCTCACTCACCAAGGCAAGTAGGATTTGCCTAAAAGATGCCTGCTCTTTCGTCAGCGCCACCCCTGGTCTGATGCACCAAGCAGGAATAGGTCAAGGGCTAACTGAACTGCCCATGAGCTCGTGACTGTGACAGAGCCTCAAGCTTGCTGATATTGTGGCATGTCTCGTCAATATTTCCCTATGTATTTAACAAATACATCCTGTTATAATTTTCTCTTTTGTATTTATGTATGGACAGTGTATGTGTGTGTGTACATACAAGTGTGCACATGTTTGTGTGTATGTGTGTGTACATACAAGTGTGCACATGTTTGTGTGTATGTGTGTACATACAAGTGTGCACATGTTTGTGTGTGTGTGTGTACATACAAGTGTGCACATGTTTGTGTGTGTGTGTGTGTGTGTGTGTGTGTGTGTGTGTGTAAGTGCATGCATGCCACGGTGTACATCCAGAGGTTGGAGAATATCAGAGATTGGGTTTTTTCCTTCTATCTTAATTGAGAGAGAGCCTCCTGTGTTCAACGCTGCATAAGGCCACTTGGCCCAGGAACTTCTGGGAATTCACTATAGGCCTCCAGAATAGTCCACTAGCATCTACATGACTCACAAACATCTGTAACTCCAGGACCCTCTTCTGACCTCTGTGGGCACCAGGCTTTTACATGATGCACACACATACATGTAGGCAAAGCAACCATACACATAAAATACAATTTTTTAAGTTAAAAAAAATCTACCATCTTCAGAGGCTCCAGGCTACTGTGGGCGTGTCTATTTCTCTGTATGAGTTATCTCCAGCTGGACCCACTGTGCCTGGTTCCCATCAGACCTCTGGCCCCTGTAACCACTCCCGCTGTCTTCCTTCTCTTAGTGATAGACCTCAGTCTTAGCAGGTCATCCAGCTGTGTTAACTTTTATAAAGACCATTTCCTCCCAGCATGGCCACATGACCAAGTTTGTGCGACAGGAAGAGGCATAAAGGCAACATCTGTCAGTTCCCTAGAAGGAAACAGCTCATTTTGGCCCCTCTCTCCTTCTCTGGGCTAGAAGGTGAGTACAGTGAGCTGCTGTAGCTTTTAGCTTGTGGATACAAGTGCTCCCCAGTGGTCTGGAGAGAGGGCTCAGTGGTTAAGAGTGCTTGCTGCACAACCACAGGGACAAGAGTTCAGATCCCAGCACCTGTGTAACAAGCTGGATGTCCTGGGAGTGACTGTAACCCTCGCTCCAAGGAGGACAGAAGCAGGAGAATCTCTGGGGCTTGCTAACTTCCAACCTAGCCAAGCAAACACAAGTTTGCAGTTCAGGAAGAGACTCTGCCTCAAAATAGGAGGCGGGTGCTAGCAGATACCTGGCACACTCATCTGATCAATCTGTGTGGGCACAAGTTTGCACACATACACACACACACATACACTCACAGACATACATGTTAACTAACTAAATAAAAGAATAAATCCCTTTTTAAAAGTGCCACCCAAAGGGACAGCAAACTAACAAGACAGGAGGAACCTGGGTCTCTAGGTGCCCTTCTAATTCAGAGCCACAAACCTAGACATAGACACTTATTTCCATATTAGAATGTAAGAAGAGATGAGATTCTACCAGCTCTATGCTACAGTTTGGGGTGGGGGGGGCACTTTTGTTACCGCAGACGAACCTAGGCTCTGAGTGACACACTCCTGCCTTGGTGAAAGTGACAGCTGAAATCCAGTGTGACTCTGACACCTGAACAAGTTTTAACCCAAGTCACTCATCCACGTCCTCCTTCTGTCTCAAGCACTCAAAGCCTTACCTTCTTTTCGTTGTTAAGGCCATGAAGTTTAAGACTTAACGTTCCCTGCTTCAAATACATCCCCTTTGTGTCTTCAGATTGGGGCTAAAGTCCAGGAGGTGGGGGAAAGAACACAGCAGATGGGAGTCCAGCCCAGGCATTTGCCAGCTGTAGTCGCTCTCCTGGTTACTAACTGCCCTGGCAACAGGTGTCTTTTGTGTCTGATGGGGGTGGCCACGTGGGTACTCTCCTGCTCCACAGGTGGTGTGGAAAGAATCAGATAGGCCGTGATGAGTCATAGGAAGGAAAGAGCTCTTGCCAGAGACTCCTGTGATCCTGTGTCTAAAGTACCTTCTTCATTGCTCAACCTGTAGGCACCAACTTGAACTCTATACCCATTCGCCAGTTTGAGCAGGGGGTGGCGACCCAGTTGATACACTGCAAGCCAATTACACACAGAATCCTCAGTGCTTACGATCGCTTGCCACACAAGCACAGCCCAACAGAAACTGGGCATAGTGGTGCCCTCCTGTGCTCCCTGGATTCAGGAAGCAGAAGCAAGAGATTTGTAGCTGAAAGACTATCTCAGCTACATAGTGAGTTGGAGACTAATCTGAGATACAGGAACCCTCAACTCAAAATGAAAAATATTATTTTCCATGGCTGCTCTGTGCACTTATGGTTGCCCTGAACATCTCAGACTTTACCTAGCATGGGTCAACACAAGTGTCATGCAAGTAAGGCTGCATTAACTTGTCCATGAATATTTATCTACCAAGATGGAAGCTACAAGCAAGACTCTCCACCCACCCTCCCCACCACCCACTCCCAGTCTTCCTTTGAGTGGATGCAACAAGCCCGCAGAGGTAAGGCAGAGGCATTCCAGGGAGTCACAGAAGGGTCAAGATTTTGCACTGCAAGTCGCAGAGTCAAAATTACCTAGATTGTCTGCTGACCCCCTCCCAAGGTGCCCTGCCCTTTACTCTGTTCTGCAGTTCGTTCATTTTCGCTCTGAAGCTCGTACAGAAAAGCTGACTCCACTCTCCTGATTGCCCCTCTAATCAGATCCACTCTTTCTCCACCTCCTTGATCTCTCCTCTCAAATGCAGTCGCTAATGATGTGTGCATGTGCCAGACTTGAACAAATGTTGGGCTGCGAACTACCGCGCCTGTTAATTCTATCCTCGGCTCACACGGGCGGGCGGGCGGGCGGGAACCTCGAGTGCTGGCAGATGCTGCCTCCCCGGGGCTTCCGCGCCCAGTCGCCCGCTTTCTTGATGAAGAAGGAGGGGGATATTTTGTCCTGTGACTACGATTTGAATAAAATTGATTGTGCTCAGGGAAAGAAGTGGAACCACAGGAAGGTCTTGACGGACAGAGCATAAATGAATGGCGATGAATGACATGTGTGAGCATTCAGTAAATGACAGCAATGCAGAGTGAGGTCCTCCACAGCCAACCCGACTCCTTCTACACAGTCAGTATCAGATGTGACTCCGTGCATAGTCCAGATGAATCATCACAAGAACAAACCACAGCGTTGAAGAACCAGGGTACCACAAACAGATCCTTGACTCCGAATCCAGGTTCCACACTTGGGCAAGGGACTCTGTGGCCTGTGTAATGTTGGAGGTCTAGTAACACTTTATTTGTTGGTGAGCTGGAGATATTCAATGAGTTAATATTAAAAAAAAAGCGTGCCACTATAATCACACGTGGTGCTTGGTAAGTGAAGTGCTACATTGGTGTTTGCTGGGTTTGTGATGATAATGGTGACTCTCACTCTTGGCCAGGTTCCCAGCTGAGTCTGTCCCTGACTCCTCTTTGCCCCACCATTGTCCTTGTGTTTGGGGCTTTACACGTTTTATTTTATTTTGGCATAACAACATTTAATTGCACCAGTATCTCATCACCCATAGACATTGTGATCAGATTGGCTACTTCCACTTGTCGGCCAGAGACTCTTCCACTGATGGCTCCCGTGGCTTCCGCTGCAACACCTTCCCTGCCAGACTTAGTTTGATTTCAGTCTGGAGAAGCATCTCTTCTGCGTCGCCACCCTGAAGCACGTCTTCTAGTGTTTTAACACCTGAGTCCACTTGGACCCTCTGCAACTTCTCGGTGGTAATCTGCCTCGTGCTGTTTTTACTATGGGCTGTATTTTCAGGAAACTACTCCAGAAGAGCAAAAATCTTTGCATTAATATTGCTAGCCTCTTGTGCAGAGTGTCCCACACGGCCAGTCCCACCATGCCAGTGATACCTGTAACCCAAAGCACACAGTCGTCTATTTTTTGAGATTATGATTACATAACTTCCTCCTCCAAACCCTCTCAATATATTTACTTTCTCCAACTCTCTTTCAAATTCATGACCTTTTTTTTCTTTAATTACTGTTACATATATATCTGTTTTATGCACATGTATTATCCTAAATATATAAATATAACCTGATCAGTCTATATAATGTTACTTGTATGTATATTTTCAGGGCTGGCCAATTGGTATTGAACAGCCAATCGGTATGCTCTTCCCTGGGGAAAACTATTTCTCCTGCTTTCGGTATTTCTTAGTTGCCTTTAGTTCTTTGGGCATGGCTTAGGCTTTCTGAGATTTCCCACTCCATGTTAGCACACCTATTGGTTCCATCTTTCTTGTTTAGGTCACATTTAGGCAGCCATGTTGGTGAGACTGTATGAGTGTGGCTTCTATAGCTATATGCCTGACACAAGATTAATATCCATAGCATATAAAGAACAACAAAGAGTCAAAAAGAAAAGTAGCCCATTCAAAAACTGGACTGAAGTATTAACAGAGAGTTCTCAAAAGAAGAAAAAAAAAGCTAAGAAATATTTCAGAAAAATGTTCATTAGCCCTAGCATTTAGAGAAATACAAATCAAAACAACTTTGAGATTTCATCTTACCCCAGTCAGAATAGTAAAGATTAATAAAGCAATAAATGACAATAAATGCTGGGGAGTATGTGGGGGAATTTCCTCATTGCTGATGGAATTATAAACTAGCCCAGCCACTCTGAAACTCAGCATGGAGAATACTCAAAATATTAAAAATATGACCATACAACCCAGCTGTACCACTCGCTGGCAAAAGCCCGAAGGACTCACCATCCTGCTCCACAGATACTTGCTCAGCCATGTTTATTGCTGCTGTAGCCGCAATAGCTAGGAAATAGAATCAACTTAAATGTCCTTACCTCACAAATAGGTAATCAAATGTGGAACATATACTCTGTGGAATACTACTCAGCTCTAAAGAAAAGTCAAATCATGAAATTTGCAGGTAAATGGACGGAACTAGGAAAGATCATATTAGGTGGTAAGATCCAGGCCCAGAAAGACAAATACTTGCCCTTATCCCTACAGATGAGTGCAGTCCCTGCCACTCATCAAGGAAACTTCTCTTTGCCACAGAGGCCATCACAGAAAACCATAGCCAATCAAAATGCAGAGTTGCGGAGCCCAGTCTGAATAGGCATGTCTATAGCACCGCTCCTGCGCCTAAGGCTTGGGGAACAGAGCAGAAGAGGGGGTGCAAAGACTGTGAGAGCCAGAGGATTGGGGAGTTTTCCAGGAGAGGCCCTTGTGTTTCTAGAGCAGGCAATGGATGGAGGACCTTGTGACTGGCTTCCACGCCTGCCTGAGTTTCTGACTTTGCTCTTATCCTGATTTAGCTTTTATGCAAGTACCTTCAATTTTATTATTATTTATTTCAAGTATGTGTAGAAGTCACAGGTGGTGGTCACCTGTGGACGTCACACCTGTAATTCCAGCACTCAGGGGACTAAAACAGGAAGATGACCATAAAGTCAAGGCCAGCTAGCCTGGCCTACAGAAGGAAACCCTGACTCAGGTTCACCCCAAGTCCTGTGCAGGAAAAAAAAAAAGTAATGCCAGAAATAAATGTCCTAAAGTTCAGTGGTTATTTCTGAAGGACAGGACTGGACTAATTTTTGGTTTTTTTTTTTTGACTGATCAAAATTTTGTTTTAATATAGGCATAGTCAAGGACTTTCTGAATAACACTCCAGATAGCTCAGGAAGTAATATAAAGAACTGACAAATGGGATTGCATGAAACTAAAAAGAGTCTTTACAGCAAGGAAAATAATTCTCGGAATAGAGATGGGCCACAGAGCATGGAAAATCACTGCCGGCTATTCATCCACCAAAGGACTGCTATCCAGAATATATGATGGCCTCAAAAGTGATACCAAAAGAAGAACAATCCAGTGAATGAGTGAACAGATAAATTCAAACAGTTCTCAAAAGGAGAAATACTAATGTCCCATAAATACACAAAATATTCTTGGCATCTTCTGCCATTGGGAAATGCAGATCAGAAGTACAGAAATCCTGGCTCCAGTCAGAGCAACTGTCATCAGGAAAACAACAACAGAAGCTGGTGGATAGCAGGGGGGAAAGAAGCCTTATGCATTGCTGACGGAGCTAGAAATGGAAGCAGACACTATAGACACCCGTAAGGAGGGTCCTCAGAAAGCTAAAAATAGAACCACTACAATCCGGCTATGCCACTCCTGGAACATCCTTAGAGGAATCAAAGTCAGCATGCCATAGAAACATCCAGGTCCATGTTTATTTCGCCACTGTTCACAGTAGCCCCGATGTGAAATCAGCCTGCATGTTCATTACCAGATAAACAGATAAAGAAAGTGGTGTATTATTTACTCATAAAGAACAAAGCAATTTTGATGAGAAGAAAATGAGCTGGAGATGGTTCTGTTGAGTGAAGTGAATCAGACTCGGACAGGCAAATGTCATGTTTCCTCTCATGCAGAATCTAGATATCTTTTTTAAAGACATTAAAAAGGAAGAGAGATTATTTAGAAAAAGTAAGTGAAGGGGAGATGAGAACAAGAGAGGGAGATGAGGTAAATGTGATCAAAATGTTATATGCATATATGAAAATGCTGCAATGAAACCTATTATTTTGAACAGTTGATGCACATTAACCATTTTTAAATTAAATTTGATTTATATTCCTGGTGCATTAGGCATTAGCCACCCATTTATAGCTAGACCTTTTTTTTTTTTGCCCCTTCCAAATGTCACCACAGTTAGGATCAACTTATCTATGATAAATAATAAATCAGATCCCAGTGGCATATTCACACCTGGACTGTTCAGGTGGTCAGCTTGGTTTTATATCCAAATATGAAAGCATTGTGAACCTTTTGCTGTCCCTACACACACACACACACACACACACAG